GTTGCATGCGCAGGTGCGAAACGCAGTGCGAATGGCCTCTATGAGAGTAGATGTGCTGCAATTGAAGTATGAGGCTGCATATAAAGAGGCAAGCAACAGAACTCACAGCATAAGGAGACACTAAGGAGACAGTTACTGCTAAGGAGACACGTTCAGTGTTCTTAGACCCACACCCACACCCGCATAAGGAATAGGAGAGGGAGACAGTTTAAAAAAGGAGGCAGTTTAAACAGGAGAAAGTTTAATAATTAGGTACTGCTAACAGGGAGCTCAACGCAGCAAGCCAGCCAATCATACAACGAGAGGAGAGTAAAGGGGACGGGGAAACGGGTAAGAGGGAAGGAGAATTATATCTAAGAACTTCAACTGCAGCAGCAGCAGAAGCAAGTTGTGTCTTTGTGTCTTTTTGTTTTGCTGCAGATTGCAGCAAGCCAACTCAAGGCCCAGAAAGCACGTCTGGCGTACCTTGGACGGGTGCGTTTTTCTGCTGCTGCTGCTGCTGCTGATGCTTCCACTTCTCCTGCCCGTGCCGCTGCTGCTGCTGCTGTTGGCGAAGAGGATGTAGCTTCCCCTTCTTTTCTGTTTCCAACAGAGGCCCCCCGCAAACAGCCCGATACAGCAGCAGCAGCAGCGAAGGGATTTGTTTCTTCTTTTTCTTCTTATTGTTGTGCATGCAGCGAAAAGGGTACGAAATGCGGATAGCCGCGTTGGTGGACAAAGTGTACGACATGGAGAGAGAGCCTCCGCTGCCGTAAGCAAAGCCCCACATTTCTCAATTCTTGCATGCATGGCTACATGCGTGCAGGCATTCATCATTTGACTGCTTTTAGTAGTTGAGACTGTTATATTCCGCCTGGTCCTCAAGGAGGCTGCGGATCTGTATAAGCCACTCGAAATTTAGGGCTTAGGGCTTGGGCTTATAGGGAGCAGGCAGGCCAAATATTGACTGTCTCTGTCAATATTTCCATCTGCCTCTGTCTCTGTCTCTGTCACCTGCAGCCCCAAGCTGCCGAGGCGCAGGGTCCCTCGGTCACCTCAGGCGGCCGCTGCATGCAGCATGGAGGAACCAGTGATGCCTGCTGGGGTATATGTACAGCCCACAATGCCTGTCATCCCCCCCTACATCCTTGTTGAAGTCCCACAGGCATATCAAGCACCTTTAGGGACAGCAGGACACCAGCGCCAGACGATGCTGGTGCCTTTGCAGGTGCTAAACAGACCCCAAGGGGACTTTCCCTTTGCTGTTGCTGCTGTCCCTGCTTCGGCATATCCTGCTGTTGCTGCTAATCCTACTGTTGCTGCTGCACCTGTTGTTACGGCTGCACCTGCTGTTGCGTCTCCTCCTGAGGCTGCTGCTCCCGCGAGTGCTCCTGCCGAGGCAGCTGCACCTGCTCCTGCAACGGCAGAAGGCGATGCAATACGGAGACAGACGGTGCCGCTACCTGCTTACTTGTTCAACGAGGACTGCATGCAGAAGACAACCGATAGGGAGAAGGAGGACGGGGCGAGGAGACCCACAGTGGCTGTGCCTGCTTATCTCTTTAACGAGGATGCAGCAGCAAAAGCGCAAGAGAGACAACTAGCAGCAGCAGAGAGGAGGCAGACAACTGTGCTGCCGCAGTACGTATTTGACGAGGATGCAGCTTTAAAGCATAAGGAAAGAGAAGAAGCAGCAGCAGAGAGGAGACAGACAACTGTGCTGCCACAGTACGTATTTGACGAGGATGCAGCTTTAAAGCATAAGGAAAGAGAAGAAGCAGCAGCAGAGAGGAGACAGACAACTGTGCTGCCGCAGCACGTTTTTGACGAGGATGCAGCTTTAAAGCATAAGGAAAGAGAAGAAGCAGCAGCAGAGAGGAGACAGACAACTGTGCTGCCGCAGCACGTTTTTGACGAGGATGCAGCTTTAAAGCATAATGCAAGAGAAGCAGCAGCAGAAAGGAGGCTCTCAGATGCTCCCCTTCCCTCTTTTATGTTTCGTGAGCAATCGAAAGGAGACAGCCCGCTGCATGCAACCCCAGCAAGTGCTCCTTTGTCGCGTAGGGAGTCTTCTGTCCCTTTTCCGATGAGTCTCTTTAACAGCTTCCGAAGCCTGACCCAAGACAGCCCACAGCATCTGCTGCAGCAGCTGGATGAAGGAGAGGGCCCTTATGTACAAGATGTCCATCACGACCTCCGCAGGATCGATCCTGTCCAGCCTCCTCCTGCAGAGGAAGAAGATCATATCTTCGATGCTCCAGGGGCCTCTTCTGATGTTCCCCATGGCGACAGCCCTAGGGCTAGCAGCTCTGGTTGTCTCTCTACTGTGTCTCCTACTCGTCAAGGCACCGCAACACGTACGCGTAAGAGCATGCGAAGCCCCGTAGGGTCATGGAACATGGACGCAGCTCCCCCTAGTGCATGCATCCAGCTCCTGTGAGTGCACGCATGCAGCACTTGTGAGTGCATGGATACGGTCTCTGTGGGGGTGGTGTTTGGCTGTGTTTTCTTCTGCATTGTTGTGTTTTGTGTGTGATGGATTGCCTCGCGGATGGTGCAGCTGGGAAAGAAGGCCTGCAGCAGCAGCCGGAGACAAAGGAGACATTTATAACAGCCCCTTGCTGTGGACGATCCACAGTAAAGAGCGACGTGCGGCCTTTTAAGCGGTGCGGCTGTCTTGTTTGTAGGCAATGCCTTCGCACTGCCTCTATGCAGTCTCGTGTCCACATAAATAATTTTGTGGGAACAGACCCCACAACGGGGGCCCCCATATGGAGGGTCCGCTGTCCCTCTTGTGGTAATACAGCCCCTCTTACTGCAACACAACTTCGTATTGCCTCCATCAAGCGCAGTTCCCCATGAGCTTCCTTACAACAGGCCACACCTAACAGGCTTTTCTATATTAGCTTAATTCTATTTGGCCCCTTCTTTCAGTCTCCTTTATTGTGTCTCCGTCGAGAGGCCTCTTTAGGGATGTTTGCCTCCTTCGGGTGTTGGTGTCTGCTTGGATGGGCCCCCGTTGAAGTTTCTCCTCAGGTGTCTCCTTTGAGCGGGGCCTCCTATGAGGTGTCTCCTTGAGTATCTCTTTGGCGGGGCCTCCTTAAATGGTGGTCGCTTCTGCCTACCTGTCTCTTAAAATCCACAGACAATGCCACCGCTCTCCTCCTCTTCCACACAAAATACATCCTTGCGTGCAACAGCAGCAACTGCTGCAGCAGCTGCTGCTCAGTAGTTCTTTTGGGGCTGCAGGTACTGCACACATGCTGCCTCCTCCTAGCCTCTCCCAGTGAGGCTTTGGGACAGCGGCGAAGGCCCTTTTTCTTAGTTGTCTTCTCTGCTGTCCCTGCCGCAGTAAACGGCACATGCATTGTGCAGACATGCACATAATGCATGTTCTATGCACATGGAGACACAGAAGGAGACAAAAACCGACAGAGAGAGGAGGCTTGAGCTCCCGCCGTAGGTCCTCAACTATAGGCAATCTCTAGACACACCAACAATGATACACAGACAGAGACAGTCTCCCCTGCTGTCTGTACACCTCAGCACACCTTTTGTTGCTCCAATAAAAAATCATGCAGAGAGCATCTAAAAGAGGCAATCTGCTTTTAAGTCGTCTCTCCTAACAACTTTTGTTCGTCAGTTTCTTTCTCTCACAAGAGGCAGTTGTATGGAGGTGTCTAGTTTAAGCCGTGTCAGCGAAGGAATTTGTGTCGCTAGCGGCTAAGCTGTAGTAGCAGCTATGCTGCTTAACTGCAACAGCAGTTAGCTGCCTAGCGGCAGTAGCAGTTATCTGCCTAGCTGCAGCAGCGGACAGTAGAGCTACCCAGCGTTGATGTGTTCTACAGGATGGTGCTGCGCTAAACATTATCCTGTGGAAGTGGTTAACTGTGGCTTCACTAGCTAGCTGCAGCAGCAAATGCTTAGCTAGCCAAAGTTAGTGTTTCCTGCTCCCCTTCCCTTTGCCCGTCTTTTTTAGTGTGCCTCTGTTAGGGTCAGCTTAAGTATCTCCAACTGTCTCCTCTTTAATTTTAATGACGCGTCGAGAGGCGTCGATAGCTGTAGGGACAGCGTGGGTACTCAACTGCTGCGATGCACGGTTTCATGCAGAGGAAGGCAGATCGAGAGACGAACAGATCTAAGGAGACAGAGAGGCCACATGCAGCTGTCCCCCTATATGGGTAAGCATCCAGCCGCCCTTCAGTTCTCCTCTCAGGATCCTCCGTCCTGGGGCTCTACGTTACTTACATGTTACAACCTACATATACACGTATACATTTACGGGTAAACACATATATGTAATTTACATGTGCCTGTATATTTACATATAAAGCTATATATTATATATGTTTGATTTGCATACATATATGGATACACATGTACAGGGGTCTATACATATAAATATGCTAGTGCTGTGGGGGTATCGGAATAGGTGTCCCTCATAATCAACGGCAGTCCCCTTAGGAAGAGCACGTCCCTCGTTGTTTTCGTAGGGCCCCTGTCCTTCTCTTCTTCTTATTTTATTACACTCGCAAGGCTCACGTATCTAGCTGACCCTGGAGAGCATAAAAGGCTAAACCTAATACTGTCTCTTACGAGATTAACATCTCTCGAAGTTTGGGGGGTCGGCCACTCTTGCACAGTTGCAGAATTATCAAACATGCGAGGCCCCACAACAACTGCCGATGCACCACTGATTGCATAAAGAGCCTCGTAGGCCCTGGGGGCCCCTTGTCTGGGAGGGGGGCCGCAAAAGCCTTGCAGGGAAGGCGGCAGTGACTCGGCTGTCTCCAGAGCAACTTCCTACTACAAAATACTTGCTGGAGGTCCCATTTTGGGTGCTTTCTTAATTGAAATGTTTCTACAGCATGCTAAAAGGAGTATATACGCAGCTTGGAGGTATAAGAGTTACTGCTTGTGTGCCCTCCTGCAACTCCGTTAGAAAAGAGTCCCCCCGTGGGCATCCTAGTGTGGCACAGGTGGTTGGAAGCCTGTAAAAGGTATCAACTAGCTGTTCTTCCATAAAAATTTGATCCCCAAAGGAGCGCACAACAGCTTTTTTAGGCACCAGAGGAGCAGTACACCTACAGCAGCAACAGTACCAACAGCAGCTAGCTGTCTAGCGATGCTGCTTCCGGCTGTCGGCAGGTGACCCCCAGCGATGAGCAGCGCGTGAGCAATTTTTAATGGCTTTTCCATGATGCAATACGATCCCGATCCCGATCCCAAGCAAGACTCTAGAAGGGATCCGTGGTAGTTTGTAGTGTGCCTTTTGTGCCGCGCCTCTGTGCGCCGTAGTAGGCAGAACCCGGCTGCAGCTGCGCCAGTCTGTCTGAATGAATAATGCTTCCGTCACTCCAGCGCTAGTCACTATACTGTTAAATACACAAATTAAGGTGAAGAAGAATGCATGGGTTGGTCTAAAGGTTCTCGAAGCACTCGACGGCTTCCCGGGTGTGCCGGCTAGTGTGGGGTCTCGATGTGGCGGGGGAGGGTTCTTGGGCCTCTACGGGGGTTTTGAGCTGCATTTACTTGGGAATTAATGTTAAAATGCTTCTAGTAATACATTGAACCGTTACAAATAATGTCTCTGTTGTCTATATACACCGAAAACACCGCCGCTAACTGCTGCACAGCTTCCCCTGCCGATGGTCTGGTGCGGTGCGGAGCAGCTGTGGCTGATGACGCCGCCGCGGCGCTGCCGTGGCTGTCTGCCTGTCTTGCAGTTGCTGTGAGTTGCTTTTCTTGGACTGCAAAGATTAAAAGGTGTTTTTTATTCTTTTCGTGTGGATATTTTCTCCCTGCTGCAGCTTCGGGGTTCCTTCTTGGCTTTTGGGGTTCTCTTGGCTGGCTAGTAGTGGTAGGGAGGCGCGGCGGCGCAGACGGCGTCGTGGGGTGTGGGTTGGTGAGTTTTTGTTTTCTCTCTTCCTTTTTTTGCTGCAGCAAACATCATTAAGAGCCTTTAATGCACTTGGTAGGAGTTACTAGGGCTCGGATGAAACGGCGCTTTTGCGGCGCAAAGGGAAGAAGAAGATTCCACAGACACCGAGTAGCTAGCAGCAAACCAGCTGCAGCACAGACGCAGAAGCGCATCCAGCTGTTCTGCTGCAAGGCTTTCACATTTACTCTTTCGGGATTGGGGTTTGAAATGAAGAAGAGGGTTTGTGGTTTTTAGTGCTTCAATTGCACGCAAGTTGTTTTCTCCAGTGGTCCACTGCGGAGCAGGAGCAGCAGCACTGTCACGTGCATTCCCCCCCTTTCTGCTGTTGAGCCTCCGGTGGCGCCCCCCATTGCCACAGACTCTTTATTGGCTCCTGCCGCTTATTTTTCTGTCTTCGTTTTGAATTTTAGGGTTTTATCCTCTTGCTTCTGCAGCAGAGGATCTGCCCTTGTTCCTGTCCTCCTCTCCTCATCGAGGCGGGGCGCAGCTTCCTGCACGTAAGACCGACTGACGAGGTGGCAGTAGTCGATGACTGCATCGACCTGTAAACCCGAACACTTTTTCCCTGTCCCCGTTCCCTCTCACGGGGGTGTGCGTACACACCACCACACCCCAGGTAAGCATACCACCACAGGCCTTCTCTCCTGCTGCAGCAGCCTCTTCCTCTCCAACTTCTACAAGAAGCACAAGCAGCAGACAGTTACATTGACTTCGGGCCTATTGGAGTACAACCCACGGCTCTAGAGGTTTTCTCACTGACAGGAAAGCAACGAGAATACCCCTCAACAACAGCAGCAGACACACACAACCCCACAGACACTAGCCAGCAGATCGCCAGCCACCATGGCCTGCGCCTCCCTCCTCACAGACGACAATATCCTCCGCTTCAGGACAAAAGCATGTCTCCGCCTCGTACAGGGCTCCTGCAGCTTCGGAGATGAGTGGGTCCAGGGGGCCTCTACGGCTAGTGTTGGGGGTATTTAGTGCCTAGGGATTAGGGTTTAGGGTTAGGGTGGAGTCTCTTTCGAGTCTGATCAGTAAGACCTTGCCAAGTGACTGTGTATCTTTAATTTGTTTGTCCACATTCTCGTTCGTTTTGACGTGTCTGGGTTGCCTCCTGTGTTCTGTTCATGCCTCACCTCCGTATGTCGACTTCTCAGATCTAGGGTTTAGGGGGGGTTTGGGGTTGAGGGTGTGTATGTTTGCAGTCGTTGCCAGTACTCACACAGCCAAGTTTGGACGCGGCGCTCTCCGTACTATGCTTCACCTGGATCTCGATCAGGAGGGGGGGTGTCATCTGGGGTGGCCCGGGAGCCTTTATTGCGCTATTTGCCTGTCCCCTGTCAGAACTTGCAGATAGAGGACGGAAGGCTTGTCCGGGTCAAATGTCCAAGAGGCGTCAACTGTCCCTTTTCACACTCCCCCGAGGAGATCGCCTACCACCCCCTCGTCTACAAGGTGTGCTGCAGGCCATAAAATCATATATAGTATATTTCTCTCTTTGTTCATTTTTGTCTGTATTTCTACACACAAGTGCCATTCAGCAATGGACAGTGGTCGATACAGCCAAGTAAGAACACGAGGAGGAGGGCAGAGTGAGGGAGGAGGAGAGAGGCGGAGTGAGAGTAGAGGAGAGAAAGTGGAGGAGAGAGAGTGGAGGAGTGAGAGTGGAGGAGAGAGAGGAGGAGAGAGACGGAGGTGGGGAGAGGTACAGAGTCAGGGAGACAGATAGAAGGAGACTGACCAAGACAGACAGGGGGGGAGGGAGGGAGAGAGAGGTATAGGCAGAGGGAGAAAGAGGAAGAGACAAAGGGAGGGCGAGGGATTGAAATACACACATCCACACGCACGCACACACACGAGCACACACGCATAGGGCAGAGGGAACAGTTGAAGCAGCACCGCAGACGGGGAGAGATACCAGCCAGTGTGTATGGAGAGGGCATG